GAGAGAGAGAGAGAGTGTGTGTGTGTGTGTGTGTGTGTGTGTCTGGATGCAGGTGTTTCCTCCTGGTAACACACACACACACACACATAATTTTACCACAGTAATCATAGTTTCCTCTGTAGTTATTGTCACTGAACAATAGTAAATGGATTTATATGGAGACGCAAAATTTTTCACAGTTTTACTGCAGTACGTGATTTTTTGGCCATACAAAAAAATGGGTTTTTATTCTTACATAGGCTATATTAAAATAATTTAATAATTAAAAAAAAACATAATTCATAAAAAAAAGAATAAAGAACATTTGAATTCCTTTTTGCAAAAACGTACAGTTATAATTCGATGTCGGATCATCCGTGACGTAAGAGAATGTGAATATAAACCCTCCGTCATCACGGATTCATCTGACACGTGAGATCACGAGCGCTTGTAGAGGATCGTCGTTACAGCAGCACGTGACAGCGCGGGGTCTACCGGACACTCGCAGGTTACCGTCAGCAGCGCGTGACCGGCGACAGCAGTGCGCGTGCGGGGATATTCGGTTCCGTTCCTCAGCCTCAGCGAACCGAACACACCCGGTAACCGACCGATCCAGCTCCAGCGCGATGAGCGGCGGCGTGTACGGCGGAGGTAAGAGCAGCGATCGCACATCACCATGACAACCGCATCCGCCAGCATCCCGCGCATCACTGCAGGCATGACCACAGAAGAGCTCTGCACTGCACACACCTGCTGGCAGTCTCGCCCTCCACATCAACACCAGTCCAGTTTGAATTCTTTGCCACACTTATTTCAGACTAAAGATCTCACGTGTCATTTAGAAGTGTTATTGTGTGAATACAGTGCCCTCCACTAATATAAGATGTCATGATTCTGTCTGGAAGAGGACGTGTGTCTATATGGTCCTAACGCACGGAGGACGAGAGTTTGAGCGGCTAAACACTCTCTGAGCATCACAGAGATGAGTTCAGTCTCAGCGGCAGAAAGCCTCACACATACAGTATCTCATCATCATGCTGTTCAGGAGGGTTTCAGGAACAATCTCCAGCATATCCAGCCGTCAGACGCCACGAGCTTCAAACGGGACGGGCTTCTCAGCAAACCACCAGATGTGTTCAGTACAAACAGAGATAAAAAGCAGCCCGTGTCCAGGGTTAAATACACCGCTGGATCTTTAATGATGTGTCTGTTTTTCTGCCGGAGGTCCTGGACGTCTTGTTCAGATGGATTCTACAAATCTAAACCGCCTGCCTCTGTTAGAAAGCTTAGAGTGGACCGTGATCCAAAACAAACATCAAGAAGCTGTGAATCTGAAGAGATCTGGATGAAGGAATGCTCTTGATCTCTCGTCAGGTGTTCTCCAAACTCTTCAGGCGTTACAGGAGGACACTCCGAGCTGTTCTCTTGGGGAAAGGACCTTGCAATAATTGTGGCCAACATCGACTAGAGAAAGCATTTATTTCACAATGAGATTTCCCCCCACTCTCAATTGTTTTACTTCAATTTTGTGAATTAGCAGATTTATTTTCACAGCCTTTGCTCATATTCACCAAGCGTGCCGATATCACTGGAGGGCACTGTATCGGTTTCCTCTCTAGTCTACGTGAGGGCCATACGACCAAAAGCTGTCATTTAATCACATGACACATCAGCTGATAGTAATTTGGTTTTTCATGATTAATATGAGCACATACTTCATCTGTCGTTACGTATATCAACATTTCACACATTCATAAACTCACAGAAAGCCTCAGACACTGACAGCAGGTCTTTCTCTCATCTGCACATGTAAACGATCCAATCAGCATTCATCACGTGACTGATTACAGTTTCACTTTATGGATTTATGTAAAGCTACTTTCAAACAATGTGTGTGTGTGAAGAGAGATTTACTAATAAACTGAGTGGACATTAATATTGATCAGACTGGTATAATAATCATGATCTCTCTGTGTCTCAGATGAAGTGGGTGCTTTGGTGTTTGACATCGGCTCCTTCTCCACCAGAGCAGGATATGCAGGAGAGGACTGTCCAAAGGTAACCACCCATCCATAATCAATCTATCAATCTTCCACCCATCCATCATCCATCCATCATCCATCCTTCATCCACCCATCCATCCTCCATCCATCATCTACCCATCCATCATCCATCCATCATCCACCCATCCATTATCCACCCATCCAATAATCATGATCTCTCTGTGTCTCAGATGAAGTGGGTGCTTTGGTGTTTGACATCGGCTCCTTCTCCACCAGAGCAGGATATGCAGGAGAGGACTGTCCAAAGGTAACCACCCATCCATAATCAATCTATCAATCTTCCACCCATCCATCATCCATCCATCATCCATCCTTCATCCACCCATCCATCCTCCATCCATCATCTACCCATCCATCATCCATCCATCATCCACCCATCCATTATCCACCCATCCATCATCCAGTCATCATCCACCCATCCATCATCCAGCCATCATCCATCCATCCATCATCCAGCCATCATCCATCCATCCATCATCCACCCATTCATCATCCATCCATCATCCAGCCATCCTCCACCCATCCATCATCCAGTCATCATCCACCCATCCATCATCCATCCATCATCCACCCATCCATCATTTATCCATCCATCCATCCATCATCCATCCATCCATCATCCATCCATCATCCATCCATCATCCACCCATCCATCATCCACCCATCCATCATCTAGTCATCATCCACCCATCATCCATCCATCATCTATCCATCATCCATCCATCCATCCATCTATCTATCATCATCCATCAAACTATTATTCAGTAATATTATCAATTTAACTTTAAATCAGATGAGAACAAAACTTGATCTGAGTTGATCTGAATAATGACTGTTATCTCCTGTAGAGCTGATTTACAGCTGAAATTGAATTAGTTTCATAACTGATGAATTTTGCAATATGAACACTGTTCTTTTCCTGTTTATTAAGTCAAGTCACCGTTATTTATATAGTACGTTTTACAATGCAGATTGTGTCAAAGCAGCTTTACAGTATTAAACAGGGAAATAGTGTGTCGAAATAGTTTTCCGCTTTCCTCTGGCCAGACGAGACCATCAGTTTAATTCTAGGCTGCAACGAAGTCAGATTGTGCAGAGGACTTATTACTGTAAGGCTGCTTTGAAACAATCTGTATTGTATAAATAAACCGATCTGACATGATCGACCCATAAACCCAAAGCTTTGAGAATCGTCCTGAAGGTCTGGTGTTCCTAGAGTCTGATTGTACTGAACATCACATGATTATCATTGGTTACTGCTGGTTCCTGTTTGCTGTGTAGGCAGATTTCCCCACCACTATAGGAGTGAACGCTGAAGAGGAGGGGCCAGCTGACATGGGGGCGGAGCAAGAGAGCAACAGTGGGCGGAGTTATTACATAGACACCACAGCCCTGCATGTGCCGCGGGCGGGTGTAGAACTCATCTCTCCACTGAAGAACGGCATGAGTACGACACACACACACATGACTTAATATCAAATGCAAGAGTGTATTCTGCAGAATGTCTCTGTTTCTATTGTGTTCTCAATTGATCTCTTTTAGTTGAGGACTGGAACGCATTTCAAGCCATAATCGACCACATCTACAGCAAACATATCAAATCGGAGCCCAGTTTACACCCTGTTCTGATGTCTGAAGCTCCTGTGAGTACATCAACACTCTTAGAGGAATCCAAGAACAGGATGAGTGTGTTTCTTCATCAGGTTTGTAGAAATGTAGCACTGCATCAGTGTCTCAGCAATGGATGCTCTGCAGTGAATGGGTGCCGTCAGAATGAGAGTCCAAACAGCTGATAAAAACATCACAATAATCCACAGCACTCCAGTCCATCAGTGAACATCTGGAGAAGACAAAAGCTGAAACTAATCCAGCATTAAGACGCTTTTAACTAAACACGAGTCCATAATCTATAATAACTCTTCCTCCAGTGAAAAAGTGCATCTGCTGTTGTCTCTCACATCAGAATCCAGCCACATGTGTGTTTAGAGCTGTTTAAACGCTGCTTGATCTGTGCAGATTTCTCTCCTGATTCACACCAGAACACTGACTCACTGGAGGAAGCGTATTTTATTTTAAAAAAAAAGGTCGTAATGCTGGATTAGTTTCAGCTTTAACTGATGGACTGGAGTGCTGTGGATTATTGTGATGTTTTTATCAGCTGTTTGGACTCTCATTCTGACGGCACCCATTCACTGCAGAGCATCCACTGCTGAGACACTGATGCAGTGCTACATTTCTCCAAACCTGATGAAGAAACACACTCATCCTGATCTTGGATGGAGGGTGAAGTGATGTTACAATGTTTCTCTCGTGACAGTGGAACTCACGGGCGAAGAGAGAAAAGCTAACAGAACTCATATTCGAGCATTACAACATCCCCGCCTTCTTCCTGTGCAAGACCGCCGTGCTCACTGCGTATCCAATCAGAAAGCGCCACTCGGGAACATCAGCCGATCAGAATCCAGACAGGCTGAGTTCCCTCAAGTGTTAAAGACAGGCTGATGATGTCATGATGTTTGTACGTCACCTTAACCTGATCGACTGCAGCTTTGCTAACGGTCGAGCCACGGGCCTCGTGCTGGACAGCGGAGCCACGCACACCACTGCCATCCCAGTGCATGATGGGTACGTCCTGCAGCAAGGTAAATAGAGCATTAGTCAGAGACATGGTCATCATCTAAGGACTCTAAATGATCAACATGACCAAAACTTTGCTGATAAACCTGTTTCACACAATCTATCACATGCCTTCTGTTGATATTTTAATCAAGTCAAAGCTCTTTTAGTGTAATTGTAGAAACGTCCGGCTTCAGTGTCTTTCTGCTGTCAAATCTCGTCAGAATAACTTTAGTAATATTTGCAGATGAACACTTACTGGACTAAAGCAGCTCGGCTTTACTTGATTCTCCATCAATCTTTTTTCACTGACTGAAAAATCAGTGAGTCTCAAATCTGACTTCAAAGAGCGTAACGCAAATCATTGGATTCAGATCGGGGCTTCCACCTCAAAACTGTGTAAATGGTTCAAACATGCACAATCAATGTCATCTTGTATCATGTTTTTTGAACATTTAGAGAACGTTCAAAAGTAATGTTCTCATAATTTTTGCACTGATAAAATGGAATGTTCCTTTAACATTCACACATTAAAAAAAAGAAAAGAAACGGATGTTTAAATGTTCAGAAATGGCGTTTTCTTAAAACATTCTTGTTCTTAGAACATACTTTTTAAGTGCTTTTAGAGACAATGAACACTAGATGAACAACTACAATGATAACTGTAACTATAACATTATAATCATCCTAATTCTACTAGAATAGCAAAGTTCACACCACAGCTATAACTATAATAATTACTACAATGATAACTATAACTATAAAGTTTTATCAGTCATCCTAATTCTATGAGTATACTAAAGTTCACAACCTCACCAATCAATAACTGATAGTGCTGCTCACTTTGCTGAAGAAACACACACACACACACACACACACACACACGCACACACAAACATAAATCAATCAGCTGCTGACTCTTTTCAGCAGCTGATTGATTAGGGTCATTGATTGCAGTTTACAGAGCGATCATAGTATGGGTTTATCATCAGTGTGTGTGTGTGTTTCTAGCACTCAGACCAGCAGTAGTGCAGATGTGTGTGTTCTTGTGTTCAGGGATCGTCAAGTCTCCTCTGGCCGGTGATTTCATCTCCATGCAGTGTCGAGAGCTGTTTCAGGAGATGAACATCGACACGGTTCCTCCGTACATGATCGCGTCTAAGGTAGCGTGTCTCTTGCGATTCTCCTCAGTGTGTGTGGTGTTCAGTCTCTCAGTCTGTGTGTGTGTGTGTGTGTGTGTGTCCGTCAGGAGCCTGTGAGGGAAGGAGCTCCGCCGCTCTGGACCAAGAAGGACAAACTCCCTCCCGTCACCAAGTCCTGGCACACGTACATGTGCAACGTAAGAGTCTGGAAGAATATGTGAAACACACGTGTGTGACGTGAGTGTTGCGTGATTGCTGACTGTTGCTCTTACAGGAGGTGATTCAGGATTTCCAGGCGTCGGTGCTGCAGGTGTCTGACTCTCCGTATGATGAACAGTGAGTGGAACACACACAAGAAAAGTCATGTCACCATTATTTATATAGTACTTTTTACCATGCAGATTGTGTCAAAGCAGCTTTACAGTATTAAACAGGGAAATAGTGTGTCAAGATAGTGTTCCATTCTCCTCTGGCCAGATGAGACCATCAGTTTAATTCCAGGCTGCAGCAAAGTCAGATTGTGCAGAGGACTCATCTGGTTCCTGTGGTCTTGTCCCGGTGGCCGTCTGAGACAAGGTCTTCACTGGGGATCTGTCTCTGGGGCTCATCTAGTTGTCCTGATCTCCGCTGACATTCAGAGCTGTAGAGGTCCTCTCTAGGTGCTGATCCACCATCTGGTCTGAATATGTACTGGATCCGGGTGACTGCAGTGACCATCTGATCTGGATACAGACTGGAGCAAGGAGATCAGTCAAATAATCCATGCGACATCAGGGGTTCAACTGTAATTTTACGAAGCTCCGAGAATGAACGACATGAGGGTGAGTAATTAATTACATTTTTGGGTGAACTAACCTGTTAATGCTTAATAACACACACACACACACACACACGTCTGGTCAGCAATCCTCATGGGGACTCTCCATAGGTGTAATGGTTTTTATACTGTACAGACTGTATTTTCTATCACCCTATACCAACCCTACCCCTAAACCTACCCCTCACAGGAGACTTTCTGAATTTTTACTTTCTTAAAAAAACTCATTCTGTATGATTTATAAGCTTTTGTACCTCAATTTAGGTCCCCACCATGACACAAGTCCCCATGAGTCTGTGTGTATTCAGGTTTAAGTCCCCACCAGGATATATAAACCAGTACACTCTCTCTCTCTCTCTCTCTCACACACACACACACACACACACTCAC